TTTAAATAGGATTTCAGTAAGTTGGCCTTTTCAAGCCAACTTAATTAAGACTTTTCTAACTGAGAAAGAACAAAGAACTAAACAACTAAAAACAACATGACAAATATACATAATGTACACATAACATACCGATGCAAGGTCAAATTTTACATTTACATTCAATTTCTTTGAAGACTTTTGGCTCTGCCCACCTTCCATAACTTGAAATGATCGGAGATGCTCTCAGAAACGCTATGAACAGTGCTGATAAGATGTTGAAGATATAGATGAAGGGTTTTGGACTAGTCACAACCAGTACTCCTGTGAAAATAACCTTCCCCAGATGATTCGGTTTATGCTTCTCAAACAGGCTTTTTCTGAACACTGCCATAAATCAAAAACAGCCATTCTGAGATGCCACAACCGACCACAATGTGTTTATAATATTTGTACTGTTTGCTAAAACAAGCATCCTGATTACTATTGCTCAGAATAAGGGCTGTGGGGTTGAACAAACCCTTGAGCTACAGTGTTAACTCACCCTGCACCGCTTGTGAATGACACTTCAATTCGTGCAGCTTGTTGAGAAGTATATTACATTTCTAAAGTTTACTTGTACTTTTCAGAAAATAAAACAGCAAGGACATATCTATCGAAGACTTGCAGATGGACTCTTTTGACTAAATAACCACCTAGCTCCCATCCAGAAACCCCTAGCAACCACAGGACTTCTTAACAAGCTCATATTGCCCCTTTGTAATATACTTTTTTTTAAATTGTATAAAAATTAATTTAAATAAAAAATACTATCAAATATATAAATTCATATAATAATTGTAATAATTATAACAGTTTATGGCTTAATTTATTTGCTTTTAAACATTAAACAATAGAGCTTTTATTTTGGCATAAAACCAAGACTTTTGCTGACAAGAAACTTAACTATTCTTAATACAAATTTGGTAAGATAGTTGTTGCGTTTTCAAATGCTTATTATAAGTGTGCTTATATATGTGCTTTTATTTATATATATATATATATATATATATATATATATACTGTAAATCCATATAAACATGGGCAACTCCCTGTTAACATTATAAGTGGACTTCAGCTAAGAGAAAAAATATGGTATCTTGAAAAAAAATAATAACAAACACAAAACCCCAAAAGTACAGTCATAACTGTCGCACATGTTGTCTTGACATATAAGGGCTGTACTGTACTGTCTCACGGGATGAATTTTTGACCCCAGACTATGTTGTTTCCCGAACATCCCATCATCATATTTCTCGTCTACTTGTCTAACTGGGACACATAACCCCCAAAACATTCAAAGTAAACACACTTCTTATTCCATTTCTCATACTTGATCGATACAGCATGACACATTTCCATGAAACTGTGAATAGCCCATCAGTCACTAGGGGAATGTGTTCACTGCTGGAATGTCATAGCAACCACGATGACATTCTCATGGTGGGTTGTTTCGGAAGCTCAATCAGGGGTGCGTTCCCCAAAA